CGCCTAGATGACTGAAATACTGTTGGGAAAAGGCTTAAAATGAAACAAACAAACAAACAAACAAAAACACGCTTCCCGTGCGTTAGACACACGCTAGTTATGCGTTAGACACACTTTAATCACACGCTAGATCTGTCAACCTCATTCAAGAAATTCAAAAATTGAACGATTGAAACGTTCAGAGAGCGTTAACCAGAACGTTATGGCATGACGAGCACAATTCAGCCGGCTGGCTGTCAAGCAGTTTATCACTACTCATTGCCATCACTTTCGCAAGAAACTGAAACTTCTGTATATACCAGAGCAAAGGTACAGTGCGAACGATCGTAGACAACATTTCATGATCAATCACAATGAAATTGACCTGCACCGTCCGGCAATCGAATCCGGGCCGCCCGATTCACAGTCCAATGCTCTACCTATTGAGCTATCCGGACAGTTATATTATTTTTTTTTACATTAGAAAGTAAAAACAGGCAACTTTGAGATACACACTACTGATAGAAAGCATTTAAGTAACATCATGTACAATATAGGATATCTTCTTGTAATGATGATAAAAGTGTTGAGAAGAATAGCTTTTATTATATCTAAATAATATCATTTCGAAATTTAAGATATAGATAACATTTAGATATAATTATGAACTTGTTTAATAATACTTGTTTATAGCTATGGTCAGAATTTTCTGTTAACAAACTGTTCATCTTAACATAGCAAAAGTCATAATTGAACATCACACCTGTACCATATTTTATTACCGCGGTATATCCTTTAATGTGAATACTGTTGAATCACCATTAGGATATGTGACCTGCTTTTAAATTTGTCTTTTGACGTATTATCTGTGATATGCAGGCTTCATAAACTCAGATTCCCTTTCAAAAATTCCATTTTATTTTGTTCCGCCCATTTTTTTTATACTTGACTTTGGGACCATATGCCGCTTTACATGGAATGGCACTTACGTGTCACATTGAAGGTTCCTTCATAAACTTCAATTGAACCCATATGCGGATGTTTCAAAATTCCAAATTGTACCAGTTCATGTTAAATGTGGAATTCTGCTTAAGCCGGTGCTAGGGGCGTGGACGGTAGTTTGCACTTGGCAGTACCGTCCATGAACAGGCTTAATCAAACCGAGCCTGCTGCATTTTCAATTTTGCAGTGTTGGGTTTTCTTTAGGGATTCTAATTTTCTCTATTTCATAGGTCTTTTATGTTTTCTACTCCTAGGATATATTCCCCAGGGAATATTTCTTATATCACCCTGGGGCACATAACTCTTGCATAACTCCATATTCAGCTTTTTTTAAAGTTTAAGTAGACTTTCTTACAATATATTTTTAGGGTGTAAGGGAGAAAACACCTACATACCTCCGTATTTAATAATATCTGAGTTAATTCCCTTTGACTAATTTTTCTATCTTTAGGCAACATTAAGCGTTTGTTAATGCCACCGTATTGTTTAAATAAAATGATGATGTGTATTCTATTTATTTCTTAATAAATATTGTAGTTGTATGTCTTTTGGTATAATAAAATAAATAACACATGGCTGTTTGGGTGAAATAGGTTATTGCCAACCCTTGAACTGGCATTTTACCCCTCGGCTGTTGTTATATTCGTTATAATTATACGATACATTTACACTTAAACGTCATATACTTAAGCATTTTAGACACTTAAAAACTAATATCTAGTCGTGTATGTTTAGGGGCGAGTAGCTGTTTCCAAGAGCAAGAAACTTTACACTCATTGCTCAGTATTGGTTGGTTCCAGGCACGGATTCCTACACAGTTGAACTTAAATAAAATTCAGTATAAACTAAACTAAATTTTTCCCCCCGAAAACTCGGGAAATTTCCCGATAAACTAATTGTCGTAGTAACAAACAAAGATATTCTATATTTACCCCTGTTGTTTGGATCAAGCTCCGTTTCTTGGCCCTCATTTTTGCCAGCTTGTTTAACTGTTGTCGTGGAAACTGGAGGAGTCGAGGGAGGTAATTCATTAGTAAAGTTTCCAAATGCTGACTCTGTTATTAAGAAGAAAAAAGAAAACAAACAATAGCACAATACGGAACATCAACGTTACATGACAGGAATATATAACTTTCAAAGAATCGTGTTTTGTTAGGACCTCTTAATAATATTTCTGGCAATGCTTGTACAGCCTTATTTCTTCTTATTCCAAAATCTTCACAACAATAAGTTAATATAATATTTAAATCTAATCTAATGCTTAATTAATTATCAAAAACGCTGGTGTCTTATTTGTGTAAAAGCCACACCTCAATTGCCATTAAATTGATCACTTCTAGGGCTGTTTTTTTGCCTTTTCTTCAACGATACATATCGCGATATTTGATTCTTGAAACGTAACGTATTTACAATTTCTTTTGTAATTATGTGAACATAGGTTATGAGTCATTACTGGATAAAAACGTTAAAAAATGTTAAGTTTAAGATAAATTATTATTATAAAAGTAAATAAAAATAACAAAATAAATCAATAAAAATGAAACAAATATATAAAATAAAATAAAAAGAAAACCGCACTTCATGAAATCGGAAAGGCTTCAATCGCATGCTAAATGATTCATCTGGTTTTTCCTTTTATGTTTTTGTCTTTAAAAATGTTGTTGTATTGCAATACTTGTTCGATGCATCGCTGTATTACAAGGTTAAATGTGTATTGCTTTGCGATGTTTACAATAATTTCAAGGTACAATATCATTTCGCTTTATAAATCAAGGACACACTGTATCACGATGCATCAGGAATTCGTTGCAACTCTAATAAATATACATAAATTTTGAATGTATTGTCCACCCAACATTTTTTTATTTGAATTATAAAAACTTTGCTTAAAGACCAAATTTTGCAAAGATCGACGTTGCTTTCTATTTAAAGGCACTTCTCATACAAAGGGCCAAACGTTTTGAAAAAAAAACCCACTAAAATATTAGAAAGGAAACATAATGGGGGTCATTTACATTACAACTAGCTGACTAAGCACGAATGTTACAAAAGACGACAAAAATGCTTACTAGATTCAAACTTCACCTCACTGATTAAAATCCATTTTGCATCAAAATAAAGTTCTAATTTTATATATTTTGCAATAATATGATCCAACGGAATAACAACATATCGTGCATATTGTACAATACTGTCACGTATGAAGTCGAACGTTTTCCTCTGTTCGAAATAATTCCCTTCAATACTGCTTTGAATAACCGCTTTTTGAAACACTCTGATGCCTTTCGTAAAATAATTATTACAAAATAATTTGACATACGAAAAGTTTCGAACTGTATTGAATTTGAATATGATTTCAACCGGACCCGGGTCGATTAATGTATCATTTTTCCAGCCTACCCACTCGTGTCCTTTATTTAAGTCTGTGTTTCCCTTTTCTCCATCGGTTAACTTTCCAAGCCCATCGTGAAGGTAGTTCTGGCTAACGTTACCATCATATGTTGAATCAAGAAATTCGATCTCAGCATCATATTTATCTCCCTGTCTCATAGAATATGACACGATGTCATCTGAAAGACATTATGATAATAAGATGTCAAAAAAGCAATATCCTTACATGCTACACACGATTCCTCTATCAAACAGATAAGGCAATCAAGTGTATAATTAATTATACGATATATAATTACTCGTCATATACTTATACATTTTAGACTCTTAAACTAATCTCTAATCGTGTGGGTTTAAACTCTGTCTGGGGCAAGCAACTGTTTCCAAGAGCAAGAAACTTTACACTCATTGTTCAGTATTGGTTAGTTCCAGGCACGGATTCGAGAGTGTGGACATCCTACACAGTTGAACTTAAATAAAATTCAGTAAAAACTAAACTAAATATTTTCCCCCAAAAAACTCGGGAACTTTCCCGATAAAACTAATTGTCGCAGTAACAAACATTTAAAGATATTTATATTTACCCCTGTTGTTTGGATCAAGCTCCGTTTCTTGGCCCTCATTTTTGCCAGATTGTTTAACTGTTGATGTAGAAACTAGAGGAGTCGGCGGAGGTAATTCATTAGTAAAGTTTCCAAATGCTGGTTCTGGTATTAAGAAGAAAAAACATAACAAACAATAGCACAATACGAAAAAATTAACGTTACATGACAGGAATATAGCTTTCAAAGAATTGTGTTCTGTTGGGACCTCTTAATAATATTTCTGGCAATGCTTGTACAGCCTTATTTCTTCTCATTCCAAAATCTACACAACAATAAGTAAATATAATATTTAAATCTATTCTAATCCCTAATTAATTATCATAAACGCTGGTGTCTTATTTGTATAAAGCCACATCTCAATTGCCATTAAATTGATCACTTCTAGGCCTGTTTTTTTGCCTTTTCTTCAACGATACATATCGCGATATTTGATTCATTTACAAATTCTTTTGTAATTATGTGAACATAGGTTATGAGTCATTACAAGATAAAAACATAAAAAATGTTAAGTATAAGATAAATTATTATTATAAAAGTGAAAAAAATAAGTAAATAAATCAATAAAAATGAAACAAATACATAAAATAAAATAATGAGAAAACCGCACTTCATGAAATCGGAAAGGCTTTCAATCGCATGTTAAAAGTTTCATCTGGCTTTTCCTTTTATGTTTTTGTCTTTAAAAATGTTGTTGTGTTGCAATACTTGTTCGATGCATCGCTGAATTACAAGGTAAAATGTGTATTGCATTGCGATGTATACAATAATTTCAAGGTACAATATCATTTCGCTTAATAAATCAAGGACACACTGTATCACGATGCATCAGGAATTCGTTGCAACTCTAATAAATATACATAAATTTTGAATGTATTGTCCACCCAACATTTTTTTTATTTGAATTATAAAAACTTTGCTTAAAGACCAAATTTTGCAAAGATCGACGTTGCTTTCTATTTAAAGGCACTTCTCATACAAAGGGCCAAACGTTTTGAAAAAACTAAAATATAAGAAAGGAGACAGAATGGGGAGCATTCACATTACAACTAGCTGACTAAGCACGAATGTTACAACAGACGAGAAAAAATACTTACTAGATTCAAACTTCACCTCACTGATTAAAATCCATTTTGCATCAAAATAAAGTTCTAATTTTATATATTTTGCAAAAACATGATCCAACTGAATAACAACATATCGTGCATATTCTATATATTTGTCACGTATGAAGTTAAATGTTTTTCCATGTTTGAAATTATTCCCACCAATACTGTATTGGATAACCGCTTTTTTAAACACTCTAATGCCTTTCGCAAAATAATTATTACAAAATAATTTGACATACGAAAAGTTTCGAACTGTATTGAATTTGAATATGATTTCAACCGGACCCGGGTCGATTAATGTATCATTTTTCCAGCCTACCCACTCGTGTCCTCTATTAAAGTCTGTGTTTCCTTTTTCCCCATCGGTTAACTTTCCAAGCCCATCGTGAAGGTAGTTCTGGCTAACGTTACCATCATATGTTGAATCAAAGAAGTCGATCTCGGTATCATATTTATCTCCCTGTCTCATAGAATATGACGCGATGTCATCTGAAAGACATTATGACAATAAGATGTCAAAAAGCAATATCCTTACATGCTACTCACGATTCCTCTATCAAACAGATAGGGCAATCAAGTGTATAATTAATTATACGATGTATAATTACTCGTCATATACTTATACAGTTTAGACTCTTAAACTAATCTCTAATCGTGTGGGTTTAAACTCTGTCTGGGGCAAGCAACTGTTTCCAAGAGCAAGAAACTTTACACTCATTGCTCAGTATTGGTTAGTTCCAGGCACGGATTCGAGAGTGTGGGCATCCTACACAGTTGAACTTAAATAAAATTCAGTAAAAACTAAACTAAATATTTCCCCCCAAAAAACTCGGGAACTTTCCCGATAAAACTAATTGTCGCAGTAACAAACATTTAAAGATATTTATATTTACCCCTATTGTTTGGATCAAGCTCCGTTTCTTGGCCCTCATTTTTGCCAGATTGTTTAACTGTTGTTGTAGAAACTAGAGGAGTCGGCGGAGGTAATTCATTAGTAAAGTTTCCAAATGCTGGTTCTGGTATTAAGAAGAAAAAACAAAACGATAGCACAATACGAAACATCAACGTTATATGACAGGAATATAGCTTTCAAAGAATTGTGTTCTGTTGGGACCTCTTAATAATATTTCTGGCAATGCTTGTACAGCCTTATTTCTTCTCATTCCAAAATCTTCACAACAATAAGTTAATATAATATTTAAATCTAATCTAATGCTTAATTAATTATTATAAACGCTGGTGTCTTATTTGAATAAAAGCCACACCTCAATTGCCATTAAATTGATCACTTCTAGAGCTGTTTTTTTTCCTTTTTCTTTAACGATACATATCGCGATTTTTGATTCTTGAAACGTTACGTATTTACAAATTCTTTTGTAATTATGTGAACATAGGTTATGAGTCATTACAAGACAAAAACATAAAAAATGTTAAGTATAAGATAAATTATTATTATAAAAGTAAAAAATAACAAAATAAATCAATAAAAATGAAACAAATATATAAAATAAAATAATAAGAAAACCGCACTTCATGAAATCGGAAAGGCTTTCAATCGCATGTTAAAAGTTTCATCTGGCTTTTCCTTTTATGATTTTGTCTTTAAAAATGCTGTTGTGTTGCAATACTTGTTCGATGCATCGCTGTTTTACAAGGTTAAATGTGTATTGCATTGCGATGTATACAATAATTTCAAGGTACAATATCATTTCGCTTAATAAATCAAGGACACACTGTATCACGATGCATCAGGAATTCGTTGCAACTCTAATAAATATACATAAATTTTGAATGTATTGTCCACCCAACATTTTTTTATTTGAATTATAAAAACTTTGCTTAAAGACCAAATTTTGCAAAGATCGACGTTGCTTTCTATTTAAAGGCACTTCTCATACAAAGGGCCAAACGTTTTGAAAAAAAACAACTAAAATATTAGAAAGGAAACATAATGGGGGTCATTTACATTACAACTAGCTGACTAAGCACGAATGTTACAAAAGACGACAAAAATGCTTACTAGATTCAAACTTCACCTCACTGATTAAAATCCATTTGGCATCAAAATAAAGTTCTAATTTTATATATTTTGCAATAATATGATCCAACTGAATAACAACATATCGTGCATATTGTACAATACTGTCACGTATAAAGTCGTACGTTTTCCTCTGTTCAAAATATTTCCCTTCAATACTGCTTTGAATAACCGCTTTTTGAAACACTCTGATGCCTTTCGTAAAATAATTATTACAAAATAATTTGACATACGAAAAGTTTCGAACTGTATTGAATTTGAATATGATTTCAACCGGACCCGGGTCGATTATTGTATCATTTTTCCATCCTACCCACTCGTGTCCGTTAAAGTCTGTGTTTCCCTTTTCCCCATCGGTTAACTTTCCAAGCCCATCGTGAAGGTAGTTTTGGCTAACGTTACCATCATATGTTGAATCAAGAAATTCGATCTCAGCATCATATTTATCTCCCTGTCTCATAGAATATGACACGATGTCATCTGAAAGACATTATGATAATAAGATGTCAGATAGGGTAATCAAGTGCATTATATAACACAATATATGCACTAAAAACAAAACAAAAAAAAAAAAAAAAAAAAAAAAAAAAAAAAAAAAAAAAAAAAAGAACTGCACATGCATATGTTTTAAGGATATATATAATCTTAATAAGGGAGAGCATAGAGAACCTCCATGTAGTTTAGAAGAAAATGGGAAAAATTATTTGTCTGTTAACATTAAAATTCATAACCTTTTTTTTACATATCTTATTTATTTTTTTACAAAAAGCAAATTTCAATAAAATATTTTATAATACTGCACGTTTGTAACGTCACTCTTCATTGGATAATCATGACGTTTATATAGTTTTGCAGAAATCTCATAATCACATGTCTCTTTCCGGTGGCGAGGGTAAACAAACGCAAACACACACACACTCATAATCACATAATCAAATTAATTTTAACAGCTTGGAATAATTAATGTTTTTATAACTGTATCATTTCAAATTATCTTTGAAGAATTTTCAATATGAAACATACCATATCAAATATCAAATGCAATATTTAACATTTTACTTATCATAGAATCATATACTATGGTATATTTGAATAACTGTTTATACATAATTATAATTGAACCATATCAGTAATTAATTGAAACAATTGTTTTTTTTTTAACATAAATCATATCAAAGTAATTTGGAATATTGTTTCATCTATAATAAATTAATTATTATCAAAGCTCAATGATTAAGTAACCTGATATATTTGAAAAGGAAAAAGAGATAAAAAATATGTATCAGAGAATTGTATAAATCCGTTTCATACATTTCAAAAAGTAAGTTTTTCAAATTAATTAAACGATTACAATTTAATAAAAAAAACCCAAACATTCTTTGTCTGTTTGTTTACAATTATATTATTATATACTTATTTCCCATAACTACCTAAGAAGCAAAGATAGAGTTCAACATGGAATTCCGAGGGCTTGAGTTTAATTCGCACGTGACTCACTACCTCCACCGCATGACTTTACTTTAACAGTGTTATCTGAGCCAAAAATCTTAATGGCTTACAAATGAAACTTCTCTGTTCAAAATTTTTCATAGACATATATTTTAGAAGCAAAATAGCAGAATGCGGTTAATGACCTGAATAATTTTAAAGACTAGTTTAGTTATAGAACGCCTTTTTGGAATTAAAAGTTTACGCACGTGAGTTTTATATTTTAAAACATTAATATATAGAACTTTATTCACAAACCCATCAGTGGCGTGGTATTTAGTCATTCATTTTACAAAGTTTACCTGTATCACCTCTTCTTTGCGCCGATGTACCAAACATGCCAATTAACAAAAGTACTGCATTAACAAGTGCTCTGCAAAAAGAAAGATACATTCATTCCGTTTAATTAAACTGCAATTAACTTAGATCTGAGCAGATGATATAGTATAATAATGCAGGCGACAACATGACAACATTTTATAACTCGTTTAAATAGATTTTGTTTTAAAGGGATTCCACTGAGGTTTTTTGACATGATGGGACTGAAAATATTTTTTCCAGATAAATGTACCATTTAATGTAGGTTTAGACCATTAATCTTTGAGCAGAATTTAAGATCATTCGCGCACTTCATTTTTCCAGAATAATTTTTCAAATTGTAAAAAATGCCCCAAAATAAAAAGCGTTTCAACGCTTTTTAGTTTTACTCAAATTGGGCTAGGAAAGGCATAAACATACGATTTTCAATTTATTTCAAAGTATATTTCTTTACTATCTTTGCATATGTTTCTGTTTAAAGTGTCCAAGCTCATTTATATAAGAAATTCAAATGCTATGTTTTTTTAGGCTTTCAAAACTTCAGTTGGGTCACTTTAAATAAAACACCTGCCTGTGTCTAACGACAATTGAAAACAGAGATTAGACCTAACGTAATTAAAAAAGTACATGCAAAGAAAAAAGCTTACCTATTATCCATTTTGAAAGAATAATCCGGGCGTCTAAAAACAAGAAAATGTATGTAAGGCAAAGAGCAATTTCACTTGGTCTTACATACACAAAACCCTGGCTTCTTTCTCAGGAATTTATTGCAAGCCTACAAACATCTGTCTCAAAATTAAGTTAGTGTAGGTCTGTGTAGGTCTGAAAATATATACATAATATCATATGAAATATTTGTTCATGATATCAAAAGGTATCATAATACCAACATCTTGATATCACATTTACAAGCTTTCATCATTAAACATTATATAAATTAAATATACATACTGAATAAAAATCTGAAAACAGTGTGATCCCTTGGAGTCACAACACAATTACATGGAAATTGCAAACTCGGTTTGATTGAGTGTGTAAATGAGGGAAAATTAAAAAAGGGCAACATTCCTTATGCCCCTTAGCACCGGCTTGAGCGGTACTCAATTTTCAACACTTAAAAGTGCTGGAACCAATAAGGTTTATCGCATGTCTACTAATATCTAATACCAATAACTGGTAATGTAAATTGAAATATATAACAAATCAGACATAAAATACATACATCAAAAAGCTAGACATTACTCAGTTGATCCAATATTCTTCTTATACAACCACATTAATTAATTCTTATGATATGTTCAACATATAACCTAACAACATCTAACTTTACTTATACCTTTATAGCACTGTATTCATACTGGTTCTTAATTGTATCAATTATATCTCATATAACTGTCATATAATTGACTACATGTATACTGTAAAGCTATGATAACAACGCTTTATCTAGAATGTTGATTCTTGCATATCGGACTGGCGTTTCCGTGAGTTTTAACCATGCCGGAAATTTCATCTGGCATGGGGGTGCCAGACGAGTCGCGTGCCAAACAACAACGTCATTTTAGCGCACTTTATGAATGAACCGCGTTAAAATGACGTCGTTTTAGAAGGGAATGATGACGTCATTTCACTGTTCTTATTTAAGTTGTAAGTTCATACGCTATTGTAAGAAAATAGTTAGGGAGGAAATGACTTTAATTTCCATGATTATATATCATATTGAGGTAAACCATTTTAAATATGAAATAATATGGCAGAATATGCAAGAAAAAATATCTAACATATGTTTGCGGTTCGGATCGGAATATCGTCCCTCGGGAACCCGCCCATGGGCGGTAACTCGGCAAGCCTCGTTACCGCCCAATGGGCGGGTCCCCTCGGGACGGATATTCCGGTCCGAACCGCAACATATGACAGATATTATTAAACATTGATAACTGTAAATCAGCCATTATGTAAACATTTCACATTTAAGCGCAATTCTAGTTCAATACAACCATTTAAATACTTGAAAAAAAATCACATCATCAAATAACTGTGACGACATAGAGCATTTAAAACAATATATCATAATACCTCAATCAAACATAATTCTTAAACAATACCATAACATATATCATTATACCTCAATCAAACAAAATTTTAAAGCAATACCAAAACATATATCATAATACCTCAATCAAACATAATTCTAAAACAATACCAAAACATATATCATTATACCTCAATCAAACATAATTTTAAAACAATACCAAAACATACTTCTAATACCTCAATCAAACATAATTCTAAAACAATACCAAAACATGTATCATTATACCTCAATCAAACATAATTCTAAAACAATACCAAAACATATATCGTTATACCTCAACCAAACATAATTCTAAAATAATACCAAAACATATATCATTATACCTCAATGTAACATAATTTTAAAACAATACCAAAACATATATCATAATACTTCAATCAAACATAATTCTAAAACAATACCAAAACATACTTCTAATACCTCAATCAAACATAATTTTAAAACAATGCCAAAACATATATCATTATACCTCAATCAAACATAATTATAAAACAATACAAAAACATATATCATTAAACCTCAATCAAACATAATTTTAAAACAATACCAAAACATACTTCTAATACCTCAATCAAACATAATTCTAAAACAATACCAAAACATATATCATGATACCTCAATCAAACATAAATCTAAAACAATACCAAAACATATATCATTATACCTCAATCAAACATAATTTTAAAACAATACCAAAACATATATCATAATACCTCAAATCAAACATAATTCTAAAACAATACCAAAACATATATCATAATACCTCAATCAAACATAATTCTAAAACAATACCAAAACATATATCATTATACCTCAATCAAACATAATTTTAAAACAATGCAAAAACATATATCATAATACCTCAATCAAACATAATTCTAAAACAATACCAAAACATATAACATTATACCTCAATCAAACATAATTTTAAAACAATACCAAAACATATATCATTATACCTCAATCAAACATAATGTTAAAACAATACCAAAAACATATATCATTATACCTCAATCAAACATAATTTTAAAACAATACCAAAACATATATCATTATACCTCAATCAATTTTATAATCTATTATCCCTTTTCTAAGTTACATAATTATTTCCTCAGTTCCAAATTAACAAACAAAAACACATAAACATCAACATCACAACACAATTCATGTAAGGCGACCTCTTACGTAGCAATACTGGCTTTTTTCATTAGCTGAATAAATGCCAGCAACACATGCTAGTATCTAAAAATAACCTCATGATTCCAAGAATGAGTCGAAACATCTATAATAAACTTTACAGACCTATCATAAATAAAACTAAACAACGACCTTGAGTGACTCAAAATAACTAATAAGTATAAAAAATATATGTATATATAAACGCAATATATTGAGTATAGGTACACGATTCAGTCATTCTATACGTATATAATAATCAGAAATACTGTTATAGATTCAAACAGTTGAAGTGAGGTTTAGGTTGTCCATCCAATATTTTGATATCAAAACCTTGATAAATGTTGATTCTATTATCCTGTTGGTTTGTATAACCTTGTGAACATTTTACAAAGCGTTAACATTATGGACAGATTTTTTCATGAAATCTTACTACCACATGTTGTCAATTGCATGCCTAGTCACTTTTATAAATGTGTAAGTAAGACAGCTACATATACAATAACCGAACCTCTTATGCACAAACAGACCTATTGAATGCTCTGAGCAATGATCTTCTTCGTTAAATTTTAAGAAATTGAGTCTTCATCGTAATCAAATAAGCTATCATTCTGAATAAAAATAAGTACTTGGCATTGAATCTGTTAACTCACAATAAACTATATTTTTCAATTACTATAATTAGTCATTCAAACATTGTACTCAAAAGCACTAAAATATTTCAAATGAATCCTCTATAGAATAGGGTCCTAAGCCAGTGTGACGAAATGTTTTTTCGTGACGTAGGAAAAGTTTTCTTCCAGATATTACCATCTCTTTTTGCATGTGTGAAACTGAAAAAAAAGTTTAAAATCCTGTTAAAATAGTGTCATGAAATGATTATCACCACTTTCTAAAAACCATACAAAGTTTAAATTGATTTTTATATGCAAAACATAAAAATCATTTTTATGTTATTAGGATAAAGGGGTAATTTACAAGCAACCCTTTTGCACACGATTTTAATGAAATAATTCATCTATCACGGATGATCAGTAATATACATGTACATTGGAGTATGTATCAAATGACAGTCCATCGTACTGTCGTATTGTCACCATCGTACTTTCACCATCGTATCGTCGTACTGTCATAAACGTATTCTTGTAATATCGAACTCTCACCACCGTATTATCGTACTGTCACCATCGTACTGTTGTACTCTCACCATCGTACTGTCGTATTGTCACCATCGTGCTGTCACCATGGTATCGTCGTACTGTCATAATCGTACTCTTGTAATATCGTATTGTCACCATCGTACCGTTGTACTCTCACCATCGTGCTGTCGTACTGTCACCATCGCATCGAAACCTTTACCTAGAATTCGTATTACTGTCTACGTTTTATAATTATTGTAATATTTGAAGTTAAATACACAATGCTAAAAGTTTACTAACGTAACACATTGAGTTGTATTGATTTCAGGTTATCTACAGTGTATATTGGATGTTCTTAAGCTAAAAGGAACTTATAAAACTTAGAAATTAAACTGGAGTTTTATAAAAAAAAATTGTACTCTATCAAAGGTCAACTATCAAGGAAATAATCAAAATCTAACTACATAGATAAAGATAATTCAAAACATCCATGCTAATGTAGACACCATTTACGTCGTCCGGAAAAGGAATAAAGAAGATTCTGCAGTGGGAAAAATAATCACATTATTTTTGTACACATTACAAAACCAACAAAACCGACAGTAACACAATTTTAAATACTGTTCTAAATTTGACAATTGGGAGATTTACACAAAGACAGGCAACATATATCAGTTTTGACGATTGTTTTCATCATCGCAGGCCTATTTTTGTTGCAAGGTTTGGCTGAAATAGCCTACTCTGCCTCCTATTGAAATTGGTTGTTTTACACAGCGCCTTTTTATTTATTTATATATACAGATACAATAACTTAATCTTTTAACTTAATAGCTTTATCTCTGCAATTTTTAAAAACTTATTATGAAATAAAAGGAATATAATTGAAAATTTTCCTCACATATATCTTCATGTCTATCTTGCAGTCAACATGGCGGTTTTCCGTCTTTACGAAACCTTTAATTCTACGAACTAAGAACTAAGTTCTAAGATTAAGTTCTAAGATCGAATATCTATGTTCGAATTGTTGCCTTCGAACTTCAAACTCAAAACGGCCTCAATGGTCTTCCGTTATATAAGATTGACGCATTACATGTTTTGGCTTTGTTTCAATGTTGATCGACATAATCAATTTTAGTAAATATCACTCTCTTTTGAATACAGCCATTTAAACATTGTTAATGGATGAAAGTAAATTTTGTCCGATTGAAATAAGTGCAAGGAAATTCCGTGCCACAGTTTGCCTATACTTTGCACTGCCTCAATCTTATAGCCAATGTTAATATCTATAAAGTAAGAACAAATATTCTTTTTTCAATTTGATCTAGTTATCAGTGAATGTATTTATAAATTTATCTGTTTTTACACTTATAATCGTCGTATAAGTCAGATACAGATAATTACTCGTATTTTCTTCAAAAGTG